TCTGGTCACAGAGCTGGGCTAGGATGCCTCAGGCCCCCTTGAGATGGGGGAGACTGGGCCCGTAAACTCCAGCCTCTTTCTCTAGGCTCTCCTCCATGCTCCCAGACAGTAACTAACTAAATTCCCTTCCAGCCCTGCCCCCCAGTCAGGGCAGCATTCCACCTTCCTTTGTTCCTCTCCATGGGGGGTGTCTGGCCACTGGTTCAACAAATTTGGCACTACCTTTGCATAGTGAGGTTTTCCCTGCTGGGTCTTGCTCCAGACAGCAGGGGTCACCACAGCCCAGCAAGTACCCCCACTACGTCACACCCCCACTGACTTCACTGGGCTGGAAGAGCATTTTTAGGTCACATTAAGCATCGCTAGATGCTTTATTTTCTTTGAAAGCTACAGGGCCTGGAACAGGGGGCGCTGATGCAATGAGATGGCCAGCGAGGTGTTCCCTTTATGAGAAAAAAGGTGTCCAGGTAATTTTACACAAGAATGACCATGCTGTCATTTTAGAAGAATGTAGGTAGAGACATAAAGAAGGTAATCAAGCCCCTTCACACAACATACTATGGGTGCTATTGCTGGAAGCTATTTTGAATATAAGTATCTGTCACCATCCTATTTCTGCAGCACCAGACATATGTTGCAGAGAAGACCACAAACAACAAAGACTTAAAATACAGTTCATGGCTCAAACCTACTTGTATAACTAACTCACAGTAGTCAAAGCAAAGAATCTGTCAGATTCAGACGAGTCTAGAAAGTCCAGCAGCTCTATCTCAAACAAGACGGTGGCATTAGGGGGAATCAGAGGAGGACAACCCAATGCTCCATAGGCATAACTTGGCATGAAGAGAAACCTTGCCAGCTCTCCCTTCTTCATGGTCAGCAGGCCCACCTCCATGCCCAGCAGTGTAATGTCTGGCAAGACAAGAAGTGCAACTTTTAATGTGAGCCTCAAAATCCTCAACTTGAAGGACTGATGTCTCAAAACCTGGTGTGCAAGCCACAGCTTTCCCAAAGTTCAGCATCTTCCCCAAAGTTACCTTCTCCAAGTTTCAGCAGCCTGGGATTCCTCCTATAGCTGTTTGTGTCAAAGGGCTTATCCATGTATTCCAAGTACCCAGAATATTTCACTGGAAGTGCCAATGCAAAGGAAAAAGGGCAGGACATGTTAGAGAATGTACATTATAAAACACTGAAGAAAACTGATCAATTTTCCAGTGGTGCAACTGCTAATCTCTCACACTCATTGTAATGTACAGTTTTTTGATTCTGCTCTTCCATGAGCTGCCAAAGGGCAGAGGGAGTACAGACTCCTCATGCTGGATACCTTGGTCAGCAAATAAACAGCATGGGGTTTGTTTAACTTAGTTCCGCATGGCAATTTTTACAATACAACTCAACTCTGCTAGCCAGTTGGTCATTTTCTCGCTAGAAGAGAGAGCTGATTTTAAAATGTGCATGCATTTAGTACTGGGGAAAGATGGACAGACCGAGACACAAAAACCCATGACCTAGCTGCCGAAACATCATTACCAAATTGGAACACCGCAATGTTTCACTGAGTCATGTGGCAGCTCTTGTGGCGTTAGTCCGCAGGCACTGCTTAGCCCCCTCCTCTGGCAGTTGCTAACTCAGGTATTGCTTCAACACTCAGGTTTGACCCAGATATCCCTCCACCATAACAGGAGAGTGGCCCGGACAAGTGTGAATGGTGCCACACACCAGGTCACCACAACACATACATGGCCCAGGCAGCGAGGACCAAGCCTGAGGAGTGGCACTGCAACTCTGGATACTGCAACATCCCAAGTGGAGAGCTGAACCCAGCCAGAGAATCAGATGCAGGTACCACCATTGTAAGGCAGACGCAGGATGGGCTCTACAACACCCTCCCCCAGGCTTCGCCCTTTCCCTGGGGGATTGATTCCAACACCTTCACTAGCCTATTTATAGGAAAGCAACAGCCATCAATACAAATGGGTCCTGAGCCCAAAAAGGCTGAGAACCAGTGGTCTAAGACAGTGGTTTTCATCCTTTTTTTTTTTTTTTTTTTTTTCATTTCTGCACTGCTAAACATTTTCAAATGGAGGTACAGACCCCTTTGGAAATTTTAGACAGTCTACAGACCGCCAGGGATCCACACATGGCTGGTGGAGAATACCAGCCACGAAGCAAATGTCAACATCGTAAAGCAGACGTGGACAGAAACATTTATACAGGGTACAAAACACAGACCTGCCCTTGGGTGGAGAACCCTGGTAAAATGCCCATGTTACCTACTACAGACGCATCCTGGGGCACCATTTCTCCCGTGCCAGCTCGGATCACCTCCTTCAACACCCCCTTGTCACCAGTGAGGCCCTGCATGCGCTGGCCCAGCTGCTGGTAAGGAGACTGTGGGCAGGAGGGAGGAGGCCCCTGAGTTACGATGGAGACACGTGTCAGGCCCGAGCACTGTGCGGACGCGCTGCGGGGCAGCCCCAGAGCTCTGCTGCCAGACCC